TGAACATGGACCTCCCTCAACTTCTCCCACATCTTCAACGGATCCTTCTTCACCTCCTTCACATGCACCTTCTGCCCATCCTCCAAAGCCAACCATATCTCTCCAGCAGCTCTCCCCTTTCGCGCCTCCCACTTCCTCTGCTCCCTCTTGTCTTCGATGGTGGGTGTAGTCTCCGAGTAGAGCTCAGGAGCGGCTGTAGGATCGCTAGTGACGTCCCAGAGGTCAAGAGTCTTGAGATAGGCCTCCATATCATCAGCCCAGGAGCCATAGTTCCTCTCCCCAAGAGCAGGGAAGGTCCTCTTGGCTTGAGACATTGCTGAGCGACGAAAAGAGCGATGAGAGGCGATAAGACGACGATGGGAGCGATAGGGAGCGATGAGCAGCCTAAGAGCGAAGCAAAGACCAGCAGAGACAGTCTAGGGGCAGTAGAGAGCAGTTGGGAATGAGATGAGAGGAAGATGGAGTTGTAGGAGCGAGTAGGCGCGAGATGGGACGTCCAGGGGTTGTCTAGGGCGAAACTGTGCGACGAAAAAGCCTAGGACGACGACAGGGACCGATAGGAACGATCTGGAGAGCGCAGGAGACAAAAGTGCGATAGAGAGCAGATGGAGGGCTGGATAGGCTGAGATCTTGCTCTGATAAGAGTAGGAGCGCTGTAGAGGCTGTAGGACGGGCGAAAAGTGCGATCTGGAGCCTCTAAAGCGTTGGGCTCATAACCTGTCCAACTGGGAAGCTGGCAGGCGTCGAGATACACACAGAGATGCCTGAGTCAAGCTCTATTAATGCTAAGGAAGTACAGAAACATACAGAGGGACATACCTGAGTCAAGCTCTATTAATGCTAAGGAAGAGAGCTTGACTCAGGAGCGCATTTTCGCTCTTCTGGGAGCGTGGGAACCAACTGTACAGTATGGGAAATGCAAGGGAAAAGCGCAGAGTTAAAGGGGCTAAGTCACCAGGGTAAAAGAAGCCAAAATAGCAAAGTGGTTACCACCACTAGCAGGGATGCATACCTGGAGGTTTTGGTTCAATCCCCAGTCAGCGCACTTTTTACCTCCAATAACCACCACTAGCAGGGATGCATACCTGGAGGTCTTGGTTCAATCCCCAGTCAGCGCACTTTTTACCTCCAATACATCGGCCTGCTTGCTTTAAGCCATAAAGCGACTTCTGTAGTCTCCAGACCCACTCAGGAGTCTTTTCTTCAAAGCCCTCAGGTTGGCGCATATAGACCTCCTCCTTGAGTTCCCCATTGAGGTAGGCACTAGAGATATCAATGCTCTCGAGTTCCAAGTCCTCTAGAGCTGCTAGAGCGAGGATAGCGCGAATAGATGCCCACTTTGGTGTAGGGGCAAAGGTTTCATTATAGTCAAAGCCAGGGCGCTGTGAGAAGCCCTTGGCTACTAGACGGCCCTTGTAGCGCTCAATAGAGCCATCAGCATTGCGCTTGACCCTGAAGACCCAGCGACTGCCAATAGCTTTGCGACCAGGAGGCAGTTCAACAAGCTGAAAGACCTCATTGTCCACTAATGCCTGGATCTCGTCCTGAGCTGCCTTGTGCCAGTGTTCTCTCTCTTCAGCTGGACGCTTCATCACCTCTGCAAAGGTCTGAGGCTCTCCATGGTGCTCCTGCTGTACTTGACAGACTGAGTGGAATGCAAACTCGAGTGCTTCATCATAATCCAGGTAATCAGTGGTCTGACCAGTATACACATGTTGAGACCTTCCATGATCATGGCAGCACCACACTGTGCTTCACTGAGTAAGAGCGGGTCTGGGCTGAATGAACGATCACTATGCTGCTCAGGAATGGGACTAGAAGGAGCACTCTCAGGAGCTTCAACAGGACTTGAAGTGGGAGCAATGAGGTTGAGAGGATCAGGTGAAGCTGAGCGAGTTTCTGGATCTGCTGCAGGGCGCATTTGAACTGTAATGCGAGGAGCTATTGGCTGGCGCAAGGGAGGCTCTCTAAGGGAGCCTTGGAAGCGAGAACTGCGAGGTGGAAGCTGTCTAGGAGCTGGCGCTGGTGTAGGCTTTCTAGGAGCTGGTGGTGGCTGTGAAGGCGCCTGATGCGCTGGAAGTGGTGTAATAGGACGAGGTGGAGCTGGCAGATCATCATCATCAGAGTCAACTCCCCCCTGATCTGGCAGCGGTCCAGTGAGGTTGTTAGGCACAGAAGCCTCTTCATCGTCAGTGTGAGGGATATCAACATCAGATAGAGGCAATCCAAAGACATTGATTGACTTGGAGTTGCCTGGAAAGCACCTTTCATCGAAAACAGCATTGCTGCTTATATAAAACTTCTGTGTGACAGGGTCCCAGAACTCCCAAGCCTTTGCTTCAGCAGCATAGCCGACAAAGATGCATTTGCGAGTATGAGGCTGTAAAGCCTTCCTCTGGTCCTTCCTGATCAACACATAGGCCAGGCAACCAAAAATGCGAAAATAGGACACATCTGGCTTGGTCTTGTTTCCCTTCCATGCAGTAAAGGGTATACCGCCGTTCAAGGCAGCTGTGGGCATGCAATTGCGCGTCCTCACAAAAGTGCTGACAGCGCGAGCCCAGAATGAGGGAGGAAGCTTTGCTTGGTGAAGTATGGTGGTCGCTCCCTCTGCAATGGTGCGATTAGCCCTCTCTGCAACTCCATTCTGATGAGGTTCATCTGTCTCTGTATGCTGGCGCTGAATACCATGCTCTGCGCAAAAAGCATCAAAGGCATTGCTCTTGTACTCCCCTCCCTTGTCATCACGTAGGATCTTGACCTTGCAGCCAGTTGCATTCTCTGCATAGGCTTTGAAAGTCTTAAAGGCACTCAGGGCTTCGCTCTTTTGACGCAGGAACATGACAGCCCAGAAACGCGGAGCATCATCTACAAAGACAATCCAGTAGAGATAGCCCTCTGGAGTTGCAGTAGGCATAGGTCCCTTGAGATCTGTGTGAACAAGAGCGAGTCTGTGCTGTGTCCTGGAGGCTGTCTTGGGTACATTGTGCCTGTGCATCTTGCCAGCAAGACAAGGCTCGCATATAGGGTCTGGTGCAGCAGTAGAGCGGATGGTAAGGCCAGAAACAAGCTGCTTGGACACCACTTGATGCAAGTCCTCCAGATTGGTGTGGGAGCAGCACTTATGCCATAGATCCAGGTCCAAAGGTAGTGTGCTGAGTGCAGAATGAGCAGAGTGCGAAGCAGAGACAGTCCGACCTTCCAGGTAGCCTGTGTTGGCATCATTGACTCTGGCCTGGAACTTCAAGGCACCTTGGAGGTAGAACTTGGCATGGGCATCTTGGATTTCGCATAGAAAGCCCTTTTCACGAGTGAGGTGAAAGACTGATAGGAGATTGGAGCCAAGATCAGGGACATGGAGCACATCATGAAAGAGGACTGGATGGGACTCCTTGCCCTCTATACAAGGGTGAACCTCGACTGAGCCTAAGCCAGCTGAATAGATAATCTGGTGGTTGGCTAAGCGAATGGGAATGCGATGGGGAGAGTAGGATTGGAACCAGTGACGATGTGAAGTCATATGTGCTGAAGCACCAGTGTCTGTGTTCCAGTGAGTGGCTGATGATGTCTGGAGCCATGCAGAGCGCTCTGAAGACGAGAGCAATGCTGCAGCATGCCCAGCAAACTCTTCCTGCCCAGCAGGAGTTGAAAAGAGTGAGCCTTGATGAGATCTCATACCACAGTTCCCAGAGAATGTCTGCTTCCTGCTAAGACGCATTGAGAGGTCCTGCTTCGCTCTGATACTGTCCTTCTGCTTCCTATAACAAGTGGCTTCAGTGTGGGAGGCAGGGATACCACAGTAGGAGCAGAGGAGGTTGGATTTGGAAGATGATGATTGGGACATGATGAAAGCAGGAAGCCAGGCAAGAAGGGTCTAGCAGTGGTGATAGACAGTAGCTCAGTGGCACAAAAGAGCCTCAGTGGCTCAGTGGCTCAGTGGCTCAGTGGCACAAAGGACAACAGTGAAGGACTGGCAGAGATGGGTGTCTGAAGATCTAGAGCATTGGGCTCATAACCTGTTGGCAGTGGAAGATGCTAGCTTCAGACAACACCCAAGGGCTAGGTCAAACTGTGTCAAGACTGTATTCTGGTATAAGGAATACAAGTGGCAGACTCACCTAGGTCAAACTGTTATTGGAGGTAAAAAGTGCGCTGACTGGGGATTGAACCAAAACCTCCAGGTATGCATCCCTGCTAGTGGTGGTAACCACTTTGCTATTTTGGCTTCCTTTACCCTGGTGACTTAGCCCCTTTAACTCTGCGCTTTTCCCTTGCATTTCCCATACTGTACAGTTGGTTCCCACGCTCCCAGAAGAGCGAAAATGCGCTCCTGAGTCAAGCTCTCTTCCTTAGCATTAATAGAGCTTGACTCAGGTATGTCCCTCTGTATATTTCTGTACTTCCTTAGCATTAATAGAGCTTGACTCAGGCATCTTTGTGTGTATCTGGACGCCTGCCAGCTTCCCAGTTGGACAGGTTATGAGCCCAACGCTTTAGAGGCTCCAGATCGCATTTTTCGCCCGTCCTACAGCCTCTACAGCGCTCCT